TCACCTGATAATGTTGCCGTGTATGTTGCTGTAGAAGTGCAGCTTTTCGTTGATTTCCTTCGTGGCGGAGGCAACCGCTCCGCCGACGGTAACATTGTGCCCGTCGTAGAACTTGGTCAAGCTCTGGTGACCAAAAATATCGCCATCATCAACGCCAGGAGTGCAAGCGGCGGCGGCGTCGGGAAGGGGGGGGGGGGGGGGGGGGGGGGGGGTACGTGCTCGTCGAATCCGGACCACAGTAAAAGCAGGGGGGGACTCCCATCANGGGGGGGGGGGGGGGGGGGGGGGGGGGGGGGGGGGGGGGGAATTTTGTGTGACACGGTCGAGGGGTTTGCAACAACATCGACGGGGATTGGACCGGGAAAAAGTTATGAAGTACGGCAGGTTCTACATGCACGCCGCGGCGCAGGAGAGCAGGGGCAAGGGATGGGGGCCTTGGGGGGGTCTCTTCATGTCTCGTTGGTTGTTTTATCACCTTCCTCCCTTCGTATACAACCGAAGTCAAAATAAGTCTCAACCGGAGAACTCCCTTCCTCATTCAACGCTGGAACACGCGTCGGATGTTCTCCGCTCGTGGTGTGTCTTTTTTCCCTCTCTCTCTCTCTCTCTCTCTCTCTCTCTCTCTCTCTCTCTCTCCCTCTCCCCCCGTCCGGCTCTCCTCCCCCTCCACCAACCCTTTCCTGTCGTCTCACCTGGAGTGTCATGNTCTCTCTCTCTCTCTCTCTCTCTCTCTCTCTCTCTCTCTCTCTCTCTCTCTCTCTCTCCCTCTCCCCCCGTCCGGCTCTCCTCCCCCTCCACCAACCCTTTCCTGTCGTCTCACCTGGAGTGTCATGTCGGCCCCCAGCTCGATCGGTCTGGTCATGATCGGCGTCGAGAAGGTGGCGTCGCAGACGTGGGGGACCCCCGCGGCCTTCGCAACGGCGCTGACGGCCTACATCGGAAAGAAACGACAGACCCGACCAATTCCAATTCGGCACGGTATAATCCATATTCCAATCCGGTACGATGTTGCGGTCCAAGCCGGGGAGGCGAGGGAAGCCAAGGGACACGGGACACGCACAACAACCCGAACACGAAACAACACATGCAGCGTATGGCAAGGGATAAAGTCGGGCGCGGGGGGGGGGGGGGCAGACATTGCGTAAAGCTTAGTCCAGGCAAGAGCGTGACATAAAAGGTCGCCCTGCGCCACGACCACTCCAACAAAAAATATTCCTTCGGGTGCTATGGAAGCGTCGAGACATACAAAAAAATACGCATGTTCCGAAAAAAAGCGCTTACAGATGCTCTAAACAGATGACGGATGCGAACAACCAATAACCTTGATGTCAGAATCGCAAAGCGGCGAAAATAACAAGACCCATGTTCTCCACGTTCTCACCCGGATGTCAGTGAGCGTGAGGGTCGGGTTCGCCGGCGTCTCGCTGAAGATAAGCTTGGTGTTGGGTCGGATGGCCGCCTTAACGACTTCCGGGTCCCTGAAGTCGACGAAGCTGAAAGTCACCCCGAGGTCGGAAAACATCACCCGAGCCGCCCGGTTCGTGCCCCCGTACGAGCACTCCGTGATCACGCAGTGGTCACCTGTTTTTTCGTTCCATCAACCATGGCGTTGTGTGAAGTTTCGATTGCCACGGGTGGCGTTGGGCGTTTATTTTCGTCCGTTGTCCATTGCCCCCTTGATAGAAGAAAGACGAAGGCGAGAGATCGGCACCACGCGAGGGATGAAAAGTTCCAAGAATTTCCCCCCGCTCACAGGCCTCGGAGCAGCAGGCCGGCGTGACAGTAATCTAGACGCAGCAGCATCACTACACCGCCACCTCCGCCGCCGCCAGCACCACTACCAGATGGTGTCAAGTAGAGGCGGACGCCCGGCTCACCAGCCTTGAGGAAGGCCGACATCACCGTCACGGTTGCCGCCATGCCCGTCGCCACGCAGCACGCGCCCCCGGCCGCCCCCTCCAACCCGGCCACCTTTGCCTCTAGCGCCGCTACCGTAGGGTTGGCTGTGCGCGAGTACGAGAAGCCTCTGTCCTGTTGGTCCATTGGCGGCGGAATATAATCAAACACGAGTGTCGGTGTCGGTGTAAGGCGAGGCAGCCCTCGAGGGTGGCGGTGACTGCAGGGAGAGGAAGTCTTCAAGGGACTTTGCTCGGTAGTACCATGTGTTATTGAAATACGCTCGTGTCCGTGCACGAGTCAGGCTTGCTCAACTTGCGGGTTTCAATTGGATGCTATGCCATGTGCGCAAATCAGACCAATACGGTAGCAGGATTGATTATTTCATTCGTTGTTGGACGTAGCCGGCCGTTCTACTCTTTCGTCAAACCTCAACGCTAGCACTTAGCGGATATACATCGGCGAGTCTTCCCTCCTCGTGGATTGGTGGAACCACCGGAAGTTGCACAAACATACCGCCCGTGTTTATTGCTGGCACTCTTATACAGTGCACCAGAGCAGGCAGTGCTTCTTGCTTCGATCTTCCCATAAAACATCGTTCGATCGATCACTTCAAGACGCTCTGGTGGAGGTGCGTGGGGGTTACTCGCCCTATACCCGCCTGGCTTTTGAAGGTCAATGATGGTGGTCACGATAAACCAGAGACCAAATCCCGACTTCAAATTGGACAGAGTCTCTGCTGCTAGAAATAGCACAGTCCGAAATATGACCCCCCACCCCTGGGAGCCTGGTCCGGTGAGAAACCGGCGTGCTCCGTCCCGGCTTTGTAGGGATGCGAGGTCAATGGTCTAACGACTACGGCATGCACGACTATGAGTACACCACCCCTGGGAAAGGAAAACAATGGGGTCGACCCGCGCCCCGAACATGTCGCATCTCTCACCACAAAGAACATATTTCGCTGGAGTATACTCCCCCCCGCCCCCCCCTCTCAGGATGAAAATAGAAAAAAAGCGTGATGAAGGAGATGCGTGTGAACCCAGTATGACAAACGTGACAACATCTAGACCCAAAAGAGTGGGGGGAGGCACTTGAAGACGCCAGTCAGTTTCGACTGCACTCAGAAACCTCGTCTTGGACACAACGGTATGTCAACGCTGGCATGAAGATAGATATGATAATAATCACCAGATTGTCAACACCCCGCTCACTCCGACGTGCACAGGGATTCACTACTATGTGGAGAAGTCATGGTCGGTCGGTCTTGGATTGTCCGACTGCGCAATGTACAGCCTACGACGGACAGAACGTGAACGTCAAAAACAGCAATCTCGAGGGCGGTGGTAAAACCCGAACCACTAGAAAGACATGACACACTGTGACTAACGTCAGGGCTCACATGGCTGACAACGCGAGTGGTCCACAGGCATCTACGTAGTCTATGAACCCAGCATCTCTGCCCCAATGGACCATGTACAAAAGGACCACTGTAGACGCGTCGCATACGGCCAGTGTCAGCGTGCACCATTACAACTACCGCTATGAACCATGCGCGAAGGAGTGTACGCAGAACGGAGGATTAGGATGAATCGATTGCATTGCTGTTCGGCTCTCGTCTCAGGAGCTTGACACCATTTCTCTCCGCCTCGTCATCAGGAACGTGAACGGAAATTTCTGCCTTCTATTCTCTTGTCCGCGAGGTCTCGACTGGACAAGAGCCCGACTGCCGTTACACGCCCGTTCCTGTAACTGACCGCAGCCCCCGTAAACTGAGGCCGCAACATCAAAAACGACCCTTGAATTAGAGAAAGCGGCCACAATGTTGTCGGAGGGAGCGCAAGGGCTAAGACATGCATCTTTACACAGCTAATATCATGTCTTCCCCTCGCGTTCAGGAGTTTTGCGGGTAATGCACGCGGTCGATTTGCCGCGTGGATACCCTGATTGCGGCGGGTATGATGCTGAAGTAGTGACACCCATGTGTATACCGGAGGTAACGGCAGACATTCGAGCCTGTTGTCAACATGCACCAGCACTCTCGCCGATCAGAGGCCCCAACCACCAGCTGGCCCTAGGATAATCCTTGCATTGATACACAACAGGGTGGCTCAGTAGTCACGCCCATGTGTACATGGGAAGTGTAGATCTCGAGAGCTTGTTAGCCATGCACTCTTCTCTCGAGGTATTGGCCCTATAACCTTTCAGCAGGTGATGAGTTTCGCGATCCACCCGCTAAGAGACGAGATCGGGTCGTTGTAGCATTGCTGGAGCAGCAGGTTCCATCAGACCGAAAAATAAGTCACACGGAAAAACATGTGTCACGCGTGTCTATCCTCCCTTTTCGGGTCTCTGGCGCACACAGCACATGCCTTCCAAAACCAACACGCTGGCAAACACAGAAGACCGTACTGCCGACGCCGAGTAAACAGGCGTCACTCACCAGGTACTTCTCGACGGAGTCCTGGATGAACGTTGTGGACTGTACGATTGGCGTGAGGATAGCGCCCGTTTCCTTGTCCGGGTTGATGCCCTGGTGAACAAGCTTGCTGCGGCGCGAGTTTTTCGTCGTTCAGCAATCGTCGAGGCGCGCAGGAGCACGGCAGAAGAAGAGAAAGAGACACAGAGCACGCGCTTGTTGACGTGGTTAGGGTAACCGAGCTACCAAACGCGAGGGGTCAGGCTTGTTCAAGCTTGCAGGCTGCCTGCGCGTGTTGTTGTTGTAGTTCAACCACACAGAACCGCGAGCTCTACGATCTCAGGCTGCATACAGAACGAGTTCAGGGAAACGCAGGACTACTGTCTCTCTCACGTTTCGAGCGCCATCTCCTTGCCTTCCGGCCATGTACCACATTCGCCCGACATGGTTCTCTGGTTCAGCTACTTGTGTCGCTAGTCGGGGCAAGAAGAGAACAGCGTACTGGGTATGGATGCACGCGCCTGTGTGTGTGTGGGACCAATGGAGCATGTTGAGGGGCAACGCACAATCATTTCTGGCTGTTTACGCCACCCGCTTGTGGCAAACATCAAGTCCCTCTCTGCAGCCCCCCCTCGGAAAAAACACCCTGTATCATACAATACATGTTAGTTCACGTCGTATGCATACCTTTTTTTGTGTCTCGATGTGATGCCGACTTCCTTCGGTGTTTGTTGCTCTTCGCCTCGCCCCGCGCTTGTCTACTCGCTGATCTCTGCCTCGCTGGTGCTTCTCCTGGTGTTGTCGGCCGGACTTTTGCCTCCTAGGACAACCGCGACGTCACCGGACGGGCGACTGCCGGATATCATGAGCGAGAAAAACGAGGAGGGAGTCTCTCCGCAGCAGCAGAAAGGGGGAGCGTATCGAGCCAACCGGGTGGCAGCGGGCAACGACTTCGTTAAGTTTGTGCTCCAAGAGAGCGTCGGGAGCGACGGCAGAGTCCCCGCCGAGGCGGCGACGTGGCGTACCCTGAACTTCCGAGAGGTTGCCGAACTCTTCAAGCAAGGCTTGCCGGACTGTTTCTTGGAGTCCATGAAGGAGACCAACTTCGAAGCAGTGTTTTGGGAGTCGGTACCTGTCACAAGGACCACGACGGTGAGGGGGCGGTTTTGATACGCACACCCTGCACATTGGTATGAACGGTGGTAGAATTAGGAGCAGCGGGGAGCAACGGTTAGCTTCCATTCCACATCTCATATTTCCCCGCAATAATTCGGCTTTTCATCCCGCAGGTGTCGTGGGACAGCGCGCTCCCTCATGTATCCGTTGAGCGAGTACGGCGAAATGTCGTGTGTGTTGCGGCTGCATCTGCGAAATACTCTAGCAGTAGCAGCAGTCTTCACAGGAGGGGGGCAAGGAAAGGTGTACAGTTGCTGGGGCCATTTCCAAGTATCGTAAGGCACACGCCTACAGAGCGCGTGTTTGGAAGCGTCAAGTCGTGGACGAATGGGAATCAATAATCGTCCTGGTTCTCTCGAATTCCAAAGACTGCTTGGTCCATGCTCCAAAACTTGGGATGATGCGGACAATAACGAACGAGCGCTCCGCCCTCTACTTATCCATGTGTACAATATCCCTTCCCCGAATCGCCGCCGATTGTTCCAGGACAAACCGTACGAGTACGTCCTTGTGGACTCTCCAAGGCTGGCGGCGGTGACGGCAGATGGCAGTCCGTTCGCCGAACACATCGCGTCCAAACAAGGTGAGGTGCCTGCCGGTGGTCTTGGTGCTGTAGTGCGCTTTTTTCTTTTTCTATCTTCGGAAAATTAAATACAAACACAGAAAGACTACTCGTTCGAGATACAACCTTTCTTTGCTGGAGCCATCTATAGTCGTAGGCCCGCTATAAGCCGGGGAAGCGCCAGACCTTTCACCCGCCCTGTAGCGGGCACCCGCCTTGTATAGCCCGTCTTATAGAGAGCCTATAAATACGACTGTACCGATCTTTCCCCCTGCCTGCCGGCCTGCCAGCCTACCGATCCCACTGCTGTTGTCTCTACAGGCGCAGTTGATCCCTCTCTCTTGGTCGTCTTCTCTCCTTGCCTCCCTCTCTTTCTCTTCTGCCCCCCTTCGTTCCCGTTCTCCGTTTTCTCGCATTTTTTTGCTCGTCCTGCGCAGTTGCAAAAGAAGCTGACAGCGGTGATTGTAGGTAGACGTGACCCTCCCTCCCGTTTAATTTTGATTCGCCTCTCGGGTTAGGCTTCACACAAGCATCCTTACGCTTCCGCGCGTCACAACATCGACCGGTGGCCCCGAGAACCCAAACTAACAGCAGTGCCCACCACGATACTATACCACGTGCACACGTACGCCGGAATCGTATCGTAAGTTCATGGGGTGACAAGCGATTCGCTTATTGGTTTTTGCTTTTCAGGCACCGACGACGTGGTGTCCTTCCGAAATCTCCGGAGAGACGCTCGGCTCGTCGTGCCGTGCCGGGGAGGGCAGCAGCCGGGAGCCAACTACGCCCACCTCGCCGCGTTCGTGCGAACCGCACCTCGCGACCAGGTACCTACTGCTGCTGACCCCCCTTTCTTGTTGGCCGCGCTTGACTGCCTTTTTGCAGTTTGTTAATTTCCAAAACGTTTTTGCCTGCCCCACCGGAAATATGTTTGCTAGTCCTCCCCGCGGGTGGTGCACAAAAGGGGTTCCCTCTGTGCGGCGGTTTCATCTCATCTCGTGTTGTATTGTTTTTGTTTACACGAACCACGCTATCAACACTCACGGCGGCCTGTCTTGGGTGTGGTCGTTGGCGTTGATACGCAGCAGCCGATGCAAGGTGAATCACACAACCCAATATCAAAGTGCTTTATCTGTGCCCCGTTGAAACGTTCATCGGAAAGGAACTGCCAGCACTCGTTTATTTTGTCCGACGCGGTTCCAGGTGGTAAAGTTTTTCGGCGCTGTTGGCGAGGGCCTTGAAGACGAGATCGCCTCCAGAGCTGACGAAACCCCCGTCTGGCTCAGCACTTCGGGACTCGGGGTATACTGGTACGTGTGCTTCAAGTCAATGATCCAAGGTCAGGGGGGGGGGGGGGGGGGGNGGGGGGGGGGGGGGGGGGGGGGTGGAGGTGGTCATATAAATGCATGCCGAAGTCATTAGACCATTCGCCTCACATCCCTACAATGCCGGGGCGGAACGTTGGCGGGGAGGCCCTTGTTTGCTAGACCGGTGCTGCTGCTCGTGTTCCAAACACAGAACAAACGTATTTGAAACCCTTTACTGTAGTTATTGTTCGTAGTTGTACGCCCGCCAATCATCTTCAGGAACATAGTTCGGACGAAGATGGAACGACGTGGTGTTCCTCCGATCACACCAAATCGATTCGCGACACCTCCTTGCACGCTCGAAGCCGGACAGCCCCAGTATTTGGCTTTGCACTCAAGCACGCGGGATGTTTGTTCCCCACCCCCCCACCTTGGCCGCGTACCCCCCCCCCCCCCCCCCCCCCCCCCCCCCCCCCCCCCCCCCCCCCCCCCCCCCCCCCCCCCCCCCCCCCCCCCCCCCCCC